ACTCCCAAATATTTAAACTTTTCCACTAAATCATCATCTTCTATTATTCTTTTTCTTTACATCTACATACTACACAAATCATTCACTATTCCTTTAAAACATACTATTTATTGTTCTTTTTCTTTACTTCTACATATTACACAAATCATTCAGTATTCCTTTAAAACATCTTCTATCTCAAAAAACTACTACAAAAGTTCATCATTTCCTTTTCTTTATTCCAACATCAGCCTTCTGCTGTTCTTTTATTTTATGTCTATAGGCTGCACGAGTCATTCTCGGTTTCTTTAAAAAATCTTCTGTCACAAGAGACTGCTACAGAGGTTCAGCCTGTATGTCTCCTACATCCAATACCATAGCACTTTCAACCGGCTGCCCTTCCGACTTTTGTTCTGTAATCTCAGGTCGTAAAGATGATGGAGAGCCCGCCTTCAAAAAGAAGTGTAAAAATCTTTCGCTTTTGAAATTGTGTTAAGTCTATGATATATCCCCGCATAATTCACCGCTATTCCAGCCGGTATCTCCCATCTGAACCAGACCTGTCATTTTTTGAGCTCATCAGCCAAAAAAGCAAAATCCTTTCTTTTTCTAAGAATTTTTGAAGGTATTTCTTTTAAAATTATAATATCTTGAGTTGCAATTTGAAATCTCTGCTTATAAAAAGCCTGTAGAATTTCATTACGAAGTTATCTTCTAGAAAAATAAATAACCATGTCTCGTGGCAAATTCCTCTGCCTCGCAACCCTTGAATTAACCCTAAAAACTTTTTCCGTCTCTCTCAGTATTTCTTCAGGCTCAGCCCCCAAATGAAAGCTATATCTTTTACCACCACTTGTCTCAAATCCTCTTGTGTGTTTTCCTTCATTCCTCTTATTCTTAAAGCAAATTCTATGTCTCTATATTGTAACATTGTAATTTTACCCAGTGTTATTTCCACCTTATTTTCTACTTTATCAATTCGATCTTCCAGTTTTTCAAAATTTTCCACAACATCATCAATACGATCATCCAGTCGATCTATATGATCAACAAACTTTTGAAATGCAGACGCAATATTCTCTCTCAGTTCCCTAATTTTATTTTCAAGAAATTCCTCCATCTCTTCTTTAATCTGTCTTGCCTTATTTCCCAAGGCCTCTTGTAAATCTTTAAGTATAGATGCTGATAACGATGGAGAAGGTGGTGGTAACTTAAACTTAGCTTGCTGAGCTGTCTGCATTACCGGGAAGATCGAGGCTTTAGAAACAATAGAAGCTCTGAGATGCTTTGAAGCCATTTTATTTTTAAGACCACTTGTTAAAAAGTCTGCTAAAATCTTATAAAATCAACAAATACCAAAAAAGGGGGAGGAAAAAAGACAAAAGCTCCCTTAAAAGAAAAAAAAAGATTCTTGCATTTTATATAAATACAAAATCTATTACATTGTTTCAAATAGAATTTCCGGTCCTTTCACTCCAAGAATCAATATCTCAGCACCATTTTTCACCACTCTTAATTGAAAAAAAAGGAAAAGATAAATTCTTTTCCAGAGTTAAAGTCTCGAAATAATCACCATTTTAATCTCTCCTGGTCAGCTCTGTCTGCTTTAAATTTTACTCACAAATTCATTTTAAGAGCAGATGTGGAAGCAGCGTCTAGCTTTGCCCTGGAGAAAAATCAGGGCAAAGGCATCCTGGAATGTGGAGGACACCTCAGACTCCGTGGGAACTCTCACCCTCCGACCACCAAAAAGAAAGCTTTGGGGTCTCGGGGAGCTCTACCACTATCTGAGGAAAGCTCACCTCCTCCCCTTTGCCTGGGGAGAGAGGTTCCAAGCCACGAGACAGCTGTTGCTCACTGTCTCAGCTGGCTTTGACACATCCCAGGGCGGACGGCTAAAAAAAGCCGCCATCGACCTTCAAAATACTTTTGAAGAGGAAAGATAAGCTGGGTAACTGTGGGAACTGTGGGGGTGGATATTGCCTAAATTGTATTAAATATAACCTCCACAAAAAAGAAAAAAAGAGAGTCTTTTTAATTACTATCAAAATGGAGAAACTTCAGTCACATTTAAACTGTAGACTTATATTGGAAAAGATCTATGAGGCTACTGCAGAAATATGTGCTACAATGAAAAAGTTTAGTAGAGATCTAGGGATTTCACTTCAAATGTTCAAATGGTCGTCCAGGCTATATCTGACTATGGTATAAATCAAAATATATCAGAAGAGGAATCAACAGAGATAAAAGAGGAACTTATTCTATCTTACAAACCTTCCATCTGCATCTCTGAGGAACAGAAGAAGCAAAGACTGAGATTTCAATCTACAAAGCAACGACGCTTCAAGGAGGAGAGCATCTGCAACTTAGAGGAACTGAAGAAGCAAAGACTGAGACTTCAAACTATAAAGCAACGACCCTTCAAGGAGGAGAGATTACAGACATCTAATGCAAAGGATGGGATTGCTATTATTGCAAAGGTTACTGCAAGCAACAAAGACAGATCTACTGGCTGAAAGGGAAGCGTCCCTATGGAAACCTGCTTGGCACAGGAAAAAGGCCAGAATTAGACTGAAAAGAGAGATTTAAAATTGTGTAATGGATTTAAAGGCAATTTTTGATTTATAGTTTGTTTTAAGGATTATGATTTAGAGTTAGAAGCAAGAAAAAAATATAAACATATATATATGAGGGTGATTTTTAGAAAAGATATTTTAAATAGATTAAGAATACTTTTTGGAATAACAAATTTATTTTGATGAAAATTATGTATTGGAATTGAAAAAATGTTGATTTTTTTAGATTGGGACGATTTTAATAATTAATGGAGTGTTTTAACTTAGATGATTTTTTTTGTACAATAACATAGATGTGATAAGGTATGACAATCAATTGGATGAAATTTGAAGTTTCTATAATGAATTGAAGTGAATTAACATTATTTTTTAATTAAGATAGCTATTGTGTAATAGAAGAAGAAATAAATGAGATTGGTGATAAAGGAGGGATGAGAAAAATTAAGAACTAGAATATATCTGGAAGGGATACCTGAATTGATAACTTGTTGAGTTAAAGTGAAATTTGATTTTGGTAATTGTAAACTGATAAAGTTTTAAAATAGGTTTAGTAGTAATAGAAATTTAATTTAGAAATGGAATATTTTAAACATATTATGTTATTTGAGGAAAATAGAGAGGAGACAGTGAATGTATTGAGTTGAGTTGTTTATTTATGTTTTTACTTTGGAATGTCTGATTACCCAAACACCACGGTGCGTCCTGAGTACTTTTTCTTAAAAATCAAAAAAACTAATAAAATATTTTCAAAAAAAGAGCACGAAAAACAGGATATTGATTAATGAATTGATATTATTGTTATTTGTATCATATTAGTAAAATATAATGATGTTTATATCTAACTCTGTATACATCAATAATACCAAGAATTGTAATTGTGTAATGAAGGGAAAATGGAAAAAATATGGGGAAGAAAGAAGGATCAGGAAAAAAATACTAGATTGTGCAGTACTGAATAGACTCATATTGAAGAAGCTAATGTTAAATATCTGAACCCAGACAACATGCTGTTTATTAAGCTCTAAAGATTGTAATTCTTAAAAATTAATAAAACTTTTATTAAAAAAATAAATAAAATTTCACATTAATTCATGGTGGAATATCCTGTCTTAAAACCTGCTTGTTTATGGTCTAAAATGTCATCTGAATAGAACACATCTGAAAGCTCATGGTATAAAAATTCAGCACAGAATAATAAGCTAATTGGGCAATATATAGCTGGGTTTTACTTAATGCCTTTCTTGTATAACAGGGTTAATAGAATTTAAGCCACTCTTTGGAAGCAATAGAGAGTTATTAATGGTGATAAATAGGGAGGGCTAACAGATAATCAGGATGCATTTTCAGTAATTCTGGCAAGTTCATATCTTTACCTGCAATCTGCTACTTTTCAACTGAGATCTTGATTTCTAATTCTGAGACAGGGAGTCAATTAGGGTGGGAATCAAATAAAGAGAGGGGGACAAGAGAATCACTGCCAAAAGGAACACTGAATAAGTTGCCAAAGTGTTTTTTTCTAGGTGTCCATGCTGATAGGTGCTTCTTTAGCCATTAGACTGGATCATGTCCAGGGCAGGTCTTGACTCTAAAAAGATTATGCCTTTGGTACTGGTGCTAGATTTATCTGAAGAGTGAGAAAAATATGGCAGAAGAGATTATCATCCTTGTTGTTACTTGCTGGAGCACTGTCCATTTCACTAATGAGTAATTTTACTTTTTATCCTCAAAAGCTTTCCATATTCCTTGTTCAATAAAAGAAAAAATTCATTCAAAAGAAAATCATTATAGAACTAAGTTTTCTATAAATTCAAATTACCATAGCCTGAATGCAATCCTTTTTAAACCAAAATCTGGAATGAGGGATAACAGGGTAAATTACGTTATAAGCAACCCTGAATAAACCCATAATCTTTTGACCAAATTTTCATAAATTAAATTGTTTGTTCTAATAATTTGTTTGAAATGGTTATCCAGAAACAATTCAAGTAATTGAGCCACTGCTGCAGCTAACAATTTACTAAGTTATTTAAACTATTAATGCTGCAATCCTAAGAAATCTTCACTGAATTACATTGTTGGCATTAATGAACTTTCATATGAACTGATCTTCCAGTAAAAGATAAATCTATATTTCCCAAAATTAAAGCAGGTTTCAGCCTCACCTTGAGAAATTGTACATATTACTTAACAAAATCTACAATTAGAAGCTGATCTAGCCCGCAAACATCCCAATGACAATCCTTTGCTTGTAGACTTATCACAGCAAGCAAAAACACAAGAGGATTTTGTTGCAGCGATAGTAATGCTAATAATTGAAAGAAAGGCACACTCCTTCCGTTTCTTTGGCCTGACCACAAATTTCTTGCTAAATGCTGGATCATTTAATGCATTCCATTAATGCAATAAACTAAACCAAACAATTCTTCTTCAGAGTCTTCCACTTACTGTTGCATGTTCAGAATTCGCATTAGGTACTTCGATTGCCCGTTTGCTTGTGTCCACTCTCACCTTTGCTCGTGTTACAAACTGAATCACTGATGAGGTATCCTGCAGATTGAAAAATAAGAAGAACTGAGAAACGTTTTCAAACATACTGTTCTCAAAGACTCTTCTTAATCATGGGCATTTTAAAATAGACCAAAGTTCATTGTGAAAGTTAAAGGCAGTATTCTCACATTTAGAAGAATGTAAGATACTGCCAAATATCATCAGCAGAGAACATCTTAACCTGAATTATGGCTGCACTATAATTAGAAACAGATATTTGTATGTAATTACTAAAGTGTTTATATACGGCACTGAATTAAATATTTTTATGATTAAAATAAATCCTAACATTGTACAGAATAACAAGTCTAAATATATGTATTTTTCTACTATAATCCTTCTTGAAAAGAGCTTTAATACAAATGGTCCAGCAATTACCTTTTAAAGTAATTCTTACTTTATTGTAAAATTACTCATCTGGTGGAGTAAGGTCAGAATCATACATCACTTTTTAAGGAAAAAATTGACAACTTAGAAATGGAAATATAATTTCCTCCTTCTCTTATGTACATCAGGGCAACAAAATTCAAGAGAATTATTTTACTCTGTGACTTCAAACTATACATTGACACAGCTCATATAATTAAGCAACTCAATTAATTTAATGAAAATAGCTGGTGTTAAACAACAATACATTCCTAACCCTTTGACTAATAACATCTGAACATTCCAGTGCAACACACACTGAGCATTTAGCAAGGCATCAGAAAGAACCACAAATCAAGCTTAGCATAGCAGGCGAAGTCCTTATTCTATCCATTGTTGACAGTGGTAAAATATCAGAAAAAAATCTGAACATTATACTCAATTCTATCAGCATTTAAAGGTGTTATGAATCAGTTTTGGGCCTATCACTTACATTTTATATATTATATATTACTTACATTTCAGTCTATTGCTTACATTGATTGCTCAAACAAAAAACTTCTGACAGGATAAAGTTCATTAATCCAAATTTAAATCCAACTCCAAAGTGAATTATGTATAGAAAATTCAATATTATAGTGTAGGAAATGATGCTCACCTTCTTTAATATCTCTGTATTCAAAAGCATTTGCACATCTATGCTACGGGATTCAGTTTTTGCTAGTGAACTTAAATTACACCGTATAATTAAGCAGGACCTGCCAGGTCTTTCACAATCCTAAAAGATAACAAGTAAATAAAAGCATAGATAATCAATAAGCCTTGTTCAGCTATCTGTCTACAGCAAATCTATCAAGATTGTTTACATTCTCGTTGTTCCTGCCTTTGCTTTATTCCATCATGTTTGTCCATCATTTCTAACTTTGCTTATAAACTGAGTAAAAATTTGCACTGTTCTGTGTATTTTTCTCTTAATGTACATGTTAGTGTATGTACTTTGTAGAGAATGTCACTGGATGAATTTTCATACTACATGTTTCTTATTATTATTCCTTAATATGATACTGTCGGAACCCTGACAGATACAGATTTTCCTGCATATCCTGAATTCAAATATCTTTACTACAGTCTGTGACCAGCCTTTACTGTAGGAAAAGAAAAATAGTTTGGCACAACCATTCATTATCGGGGGGGGGGGGGAAGAAAGCAATAAACAATGTATCTAATTAAAAAGTCTTCGGGATCCAGGACTTTAGTTCTGAATAGGGCTGCACTGCCCCAGACGAACCCTAGGTGCAACTTGAGGATTCTCCTAGACTCAAGTCTCCTGCTCAAAGAGCAAGTGGCAGTCATGGCTAGGACAGCTTTGCATAAATTAATGTTCTGCACCAATTGCACCTATAATAATAATAACAACAACAACAATGACAACAAAGTTGGAAGGGCCCTTGGAGGTCATCTAGTCCAACCCCCTGCTCAGGCAGGAAACCCTATACCATTTCAGACAAATGGCTGTCCACTCTTTTCTTAAAAAGTTCCAGTATTTTCTTGGATTGTGACTTCCTGCACTCAGTCACTCATGCCTTGGTCAACTCCTGTTTGGACTACTGCAATGCACTCTACATGAAGCTACCTTGAAGAGTATTGGGTGCAGAATGCAGCTACAAAGGCAGTTCTAGGAGGCCCCTAGGGTAGCCCTCATAGCATCTCTGTTATGTGAGCTGCATGGTTGCCAGTTTACTTCAAGGTCCCACTTCAAGTGGTTGGTTATCGCCTTTAAAGCCCTTCATGGCATGGGTCCTGGCTACTTGAGGAACTGCCTAACCCCTATGGGACCCACTGATTTAATGCTGTAGACTTCATTGGTCAAACTGACGATGTCCAGGAAACAGGCCTTTTTTGCCATGGATCCTGCCTTCTGAAGCACTGAGCCACTCAAGGTGAGATCCACCCCTGGCCGCTTGGCCTTTGAAAGAGCTCCAAACCTGGCTCTACCAATTGGCCTGGGACTTGATGGGAATGTTCAGTCCTTGAGGTGATTAGTGGACGATTCCACTTCTGCCCTATTGTATTCTGGTTCCTATATATTTAATTTATGTGAATTTAAATATTAATGTTTTAATGTCTCTGTTTTTTATGCTGTAGTCACATAGAGTTACTTAACAATGAACATGGGCAGCATATAAATTTAATAATAAATAAATGTATGCACAATAGTTATCACTTGATGAAAATATCTGGTCATCTGTTATGTTATTAAAAAGTAATAAAATTTATCAGTACGACCCTCAAATTATATCTGGTGGAATCATAAAAAGGACACTGTGTGCAACAGGCAAAGTATTAATTAATAAGGAGTCCCATGAAATCTTCCCATCAGCAATGTTGAAGGAAGGGCTGTCAGAATACACTCTGGAAAAGGTCCATCTATATTTGCTTAGGGTAGAAGGTATAGAAACCTGCAATAGAGGACTTATTGGAGTAGAGTAGTGAGGATGGCAGAAAAGATTATTGGAAGTTCACCTCCTAATATCCAGAACCTAGCACATGAGTGATGCTTGACCAGGGTCTGCAGTATTGTCTGGGATGCTACACATCCTCTCCATGACTGTTTTCTTTCTTATCTTCTGGGAAGAGTTTTCATAGTATTCGAAGCAGAACAACTAGATTCTGCAATAGCTTTGTATATATAGTACTCAGCCTTGTTAGCTCTCAAGACTCTCTTTTCCAGTATGTATCCAATATCTTATGTTACTGGTATCTAACATTTAGCAATAGACACAGATGCCCTGGTGATATCATTTTGGCAAAGTCCCTAAATATTTCTTTTACAATTGATTCAACAACACTGATTATTTTTTTTTTTTTGTAATTCTATTGCAAACAACAACAAAAGGGTTCAACTAAATTTAGGCTAAATTACAGGTTTGGGAAGGACAAACTAAGTACATTCACAAGTAGTCCATAGATGTAATGTCTTCAAAAAGGATATGTAAATTTGAAAAAATATATATCTTTTCATTTCATTTCAATCCAGATCAAACTGCTGCATTAAGTTCTTTTTATTTTAAGGTCAAATATTCTCTATAGTTGGAAATAGGAAGATCTTGCACAATTGTATTTGAAGATCTCCAGGGCCAGATGTTTGGCACTGATAGCCCTTTGGGGGGAAACAAAAGAGGGGCCTGGAATCAATCTCTTTTACATCCTACTCCCAATCAATAACTCCAATCATAACTGCCACATTCAAACAATGCAGTAAAATTATCATACATCCCAAATGTGGATGAGATTTTATCATAGGAATCATACGTTTATCCATGTAGGACTTTATACTTTAGAGAAAAATTGGAGGTTAGAGAAACATAACAGGCTTTGCATTGAAAAAGTTTTGGTGAAATCCCTGCAGATTTGCTGTTTCTCAGTCCTAAATTGATCGAAGATCTAAATCAGCTTCAGACAACTTCCACTTGTCTTTATATAAATTAATTGTCTTGCATTATATTGAAATGGACAATTTTTTGACAAGCTCTTTAAGAATTCAGCAAGCTTTTCTCAGACTTTTAATACAAGACTTACAGTTGTACTGCAACATACATTCTACCAACAATACAATTTCTGCCCGCTCTAAACCAGATGTGAATCCCTCTCCAATCACTTTATTTACTTTTAATGTATGGGTATGCACCAGAACTTAAGGTTCTCATCCTTGACCCACCTGGAAGTAAGCCAACCTGCATAAACATCTGTGAGGATCAAATAACTGTTATATGAGCTGAGGTGGCGCAGCAGTTAGAGTGCAGTACTGCAGGCCACTTTAGCTGACTGTGTTCAGCAGGTCAGCAGTTCAAATCTCACCGGCTCAAGGTTGACTCAGCCTTCCATCCTTCCGGGGTAGGTAAAATGAGGACCCAGATTGTTGGGGGCAATGTAAATATATATATATAATATATATAGTATATATATATATATATATATATATATATATATATATATATATATATACACACACATACATATACACACACACACACACACACACACACACACACACACACACACACACATTGCTTACTGGTGTACACCGCTTAGAGAGTGTTTGCACTTAAAGCGGTATATAAGTCTCATAAATAAATAAATAAATAAATGTGAAAAATCTGTGAATTAGATCCTCAATAATTTCAGAAAAGTGGTAAAGCCCAGATCTAAATTGCAGAATTTCAATTTAAATTGGAACCATTTTTTTAAAAAAATTACTTCTGCTGCCATCATGGACATTTTTTCCCCATCATGTTAATTGAGTCATTATTGGGTCCTTAAATATTCAGCATGTAATCTGACATCCACCAAAATGTTTTTCTCATGTTTTAAGCATGTATCAATATTATTCTCACCTAATAGATATACTTTTCTAATTAAGGATTGAAGAGAGCTTGGAAGATGGCCTTGAAGTAAATATACAGAAACTGTTACCTAAATGAAAATGACAGAAGCATTCCCTAAAAGCCCTGGGGATAGAGATAACAGGTTTCTTCTTTAGGCTGACTCCAACCCTGATTCAACTGGTATAAGATAACAAAATAAATAGGGTTTCTTACCAGTACTTTCCTCCCAGACTTGGTAAAAAAGGCAAATATTGTATGAAAAATATTTTCCTTTTCCTGAGGAATAACACAGGGTGTTGAGTTATTCTGAAAAGAGCAGTTCCCTTTGTCCTGGGCAACCTAAAGGAAGATTACAAAACGCACCCTGTAACGTTGTACACCGTGTTTGGCACATTTATATATATATAATTATATAAATATATAATTATTATTATTCATCTGTTGTATTTGTTGTTAAACTCATACTTCTACATGATCTATAAGAAAATATAATGAAACAAAAGCTATTTCTGCTGCTAATTTCTGCTGCCAGAAAGACACTCCTTGTTTAAATACATGAACTGATTGCACTGAAAGCAAAGTGAAAATTGTACCTATAAAAAAAAAACTAGGGAGGGGGATCAATTTTCATTTGATGATTATAACCAGTCCTAAAATGACTTTATTTGGAAGTATGAAACATCTATTTGCATAAATGGAGTGATGACTTTATCTCAACAATATGATTGTTATTCATTAAGGCTCCACACCACATCATTGTGGAAATCTCAAATAGTAAGACGGCAGGGAAGAAACTCTCAAAGCAAGAGCTACTTGGTTTGGGAAGGAGCTTCCCCCCCCCCCCATTCACATGCTTGTGAATTCTGGTGTTGTAATCCTTACTTATGTAGAAAGAGTCAGGGTAGGATGGTTTGCTAAAAACAATTCTATGTCTGCACTTATTCTGAATGCAACCAGAATTCAAAAACTGTGTTCAGTTTTCACACTGTAGTTCAATATTTTTCATTAATTACTAATACCATCAGTCACACCTATAACACATAGAACCAAGGAAGAGATCAATCATCCTATACAAGTTTTTATACTCCTTTAAGATCCACTTTGAAGAATAGGCTGTATTTTACATGGCAACAAATCTATCTGGACTAGTTCAGCAACCAAGAATGGACATTATTAACCTTGTTAGGCATAAACAATAAAGGCTTTCAGGTCTGGGAAAGAGGAAGTCCAGATGCCATCTAATATATGAATAGCAAGAAGAAATATGTGCTTTATTTTATTTTAGAACATAGCAATAGTTTCAAGCCTGGAGTTGAACACAACCTTACAAGGCATCCAAGGAGAGAGTTTACATGTAACATTCCCATACTCAAGTGCTCAACAGCTGAAATTCAAGACAGTGCTTACATTTGGCCTTTCTTGGATGGTCAGGGAGGCTAATTTATGCACTGTAAGGATGCCAGATGATATTGATATTAAGTGGAGCTTCTCAGAAGATTCCTTCAAACAGCTGTTATAAGATGCAAGTTGATTAGACTGACACAAAACTGAATGCAGTCCACCATGCATAAATTTTGTCCAGGACAAGATGAATCTCATTGTTTTGCTGATTGAACAGAATTACCAAAATTGTCTGAGTCAGAATGAAAGGGAGTTCCTAAAATAATTTTGTAGACAGTGCTGCACTGCATGTTGTTTCTGCTCCCAAGATAACATGGACCTTGTACTATGTGTTGTAATGTCCAGAATCCATTGATCATAAATGCTAAAATTTCCCATTTCCACCATTTGGGAATAAGGAACATGAAAACTGAATTTCTTAAATCGTATTATAAGTTTGATGTATATTTTTATAAAAACCAAAAATTTCACAAATAAAGCCACGTATTGTTTATTGATAACTTTGAGTATTCATACATTATTTTTACTGACTTACTTTGATTTTGTTTTACCCCATCCAGTGTCTATTTGGACTACAATAGGTTAAAATATTGTGAATTAATAAATAAAACCAAACTTAGAAAAAACTTGTTCTGATCAGTGCAAGTCACAATTAAGCTTACTTTGCTTACTGTGGCCCCCTGAATTCTCAAATAAAAAGTTATGACTCCTGGTTACCAAAATATTGCACTTCTTCAGTGGTGGTGAAATCAGCCAGTTCGTACCACTTCGGCAGAACTGGTAGCTAATTTTTTGTTGCCCAGGCCCAGAATGGATTTCCGGAAGTGGCATCCACACAGAGAACCAGTTGTTCACATATCTTACCTTATAACTGATCCTAAAGTTACACTTTGGATTTGCCAAGACCCAAAGGCCTTCAAGAGTAAATGATACAGTGGGTAGTTGGAGACCCTTTTAGCATTTGTTATGCAACAGCATATTGATTGCATTAGTAACAATATAGAAAAATAAAAGTTTGCCTATATTTAATTAGTTTATAAGGGAGGTCAAACATAATGGCAAAACAAGATACTAAGAATATTAAAGTTGAGTGACTGTGCACAGGGTGGCATATACATTTAATAAACAAATATTTTTACATACTTCTTTAAACCTACCCTATCTTTGATATGGCAGAAACTACTCTAATTCCAAAGCTGATCTCACTGTTTTCTCATCACTCACCTAAATTAGTATTTATCAATGAATAGAACTGTTTTACAATCACAAGCTAGCAAAAAAAAATATCCCAAGAAATGTATTTATTTCTGATTGTCCTGGGATTGTTGCTAGAAAAGGTAGAATTAAATTTCAATGTAACCACAAATAATATTTTCAGTGTAGTACCATATTTGTGAGAATTTCAATTTCCTCCATATTACAAGGGCAGAGATAGCAAATTAGAGGAATATTATAGTAATTCCCTTATAATAGTGAATAGATAAGGGCATTAAAATTTTATGAAAATCCAGCAATATTTAGATACGTGGATTAGTGCATAAAAATAAGATGATCCCACTTCATCAAATAAAGCTGGGTGTTGCAAAAACTGGGCAAATGAAACTAGATTTAAGGAATAATCCATTCCTTAGCCCGGTTCCTATTTAATCTACATCAATTGTCTACACAGGTAGGCCATGTGACATTATTTTCTAGATGACAGCTAATATGTATATTTTCTTTCTTTTTCTCTATACTAACATTTACCTTTGCTAAATGCTTCCCTTAAAGCTGCTTTTTACAGCATGAATGAGAACACAGATATCATTTAAAAATTGTAATATATTTATATAAGCAGAAATCTTCATCTGAAAGATGGAGAACGCCAGTTTATCATCTTTGTCTCAACAGAGAAAAGGTAACTAGTGCCTATACTATTAGGAAAGCTATTAGTATAGAGTACTGCTCAGTCTTTATTGCGTAAAGACAATGTAAGAAGCTGGTGGACACTAGCACAAAAAGCTTTTTCCTCATAAGAGATAGTAACATTCTTGTGATGATACATTTCTGAATACGGAATATGATATTACTTAAGATAATTGCTTAGTTGTGCTTCAGTACTGTAAGGATTTCACAGAATGGGAAAACTACCTTAATGACACATTTCTTCTTTCATGATAATAAACTAGGTTTAATTCATGTATACAGTATATCACCTGATCATCTGGCAATATTTGGTAATTCTCATTGGAGTAAATTGGATGAGCTGCTGAAACAGATTGTCCTGGATGCACAGAAGATTGAATAGACATTGATTATAGAGTGGGTTTTCCCCAGATTCTCTTTCTCCAACTATTACTAAGATTCTGGAACCACACAGAAGAAATCAAAAAAGGGCCAAGATAAGGAAAGCATTTTGGACATATACAAGTAGAAATGATTTCCTATTCATGTAAAACAGATTTAGATTCAAGCCACTGTGCTAACATTGTCATCAGTACTAATTTACAAAGTAACATCAGTAATAACTTATAAAGATATTTAGGCTGAAGTGCAATGGATTTGAACTTGTTCATAATTCAAGTGAATAATCTCCTCCTTTCTTCATATTTCAGATTTTCCCCATGAGCATTTTAATATCATAAATTTGCATTGGCATTAGATTATACTTTCATTCTTGAAATGCAAATCTGTGGACATGCACGTTACTGTACATGTTATTATCCAGTAAAACTATACAAAAAAGAGGCTGCACATTAGCTTACCATCATCTGTCGAATATGGAACATATCAGCTCCAGTAGCTGAGAGACGATTGGGAATTGAAATGGCAACAAAAGATCCAGGAAGGGTACTTGGCCCAGCATTATAGACCTTCAAAAATATAGGAACAAATGAAATATGTACATGCTTCAAAAATATATGACAAGGCAGGTGTTTTTTTGTTTAGCCCATATCTTCATCTGATTTAACTATCTCCCTTAATGACAGACAAAGGGGAAAATATGTTTTTTCTCCAATAGAAACCCATGTTAAGGATAAAGGGAGTATATTCTATAGTAAACTATTTATCTGAATGTAAAGCTTCACAACACACATTAGGTAAATCTCATTTGAGAGTACTCAGGCTAATGGTTATCCCAGTTCTGTGTATATATATATGCCAAATATACACCAAAATATTTATATATGGAAAAATAAACTAGTTATATATGGAGATATGTATGTATGTATGTATAATCTTGGATAAATGATGGTCTATAAATGGTTCTGTTTGAATTCAACTGATTCTAAATATCCAAACATATAGACGTCATTTTCCAAACATTGCTCAAGCTTTGAGAAATGTATGAATGATAAAGAAAAGCAATCCAGGATGCCAAATCCTTACACAACCTTGAAGGCATTAAAGGGGGAAGAAATCCAGCTATAGCCACCATAAACTTCAACTGCTGCATAAAAATGCAAGCACTGAATATTGTATCAGAATACAAAGGTAATGTTATAATGAAAATAGATACATAAAAGTTGCTTGAATCTCAACAGCAAAGGAGATGGAAAAATCCCTTGTGTTTTAAATTTACTTCATTGGACTTATATATTTTAATACTATTACAATTTCTTTAAACCATGGCATTCTTTCTATTCAAAGGCAAAAGCAGCTGACTTTTTACTAGTTACATCTATGTTACCTATTTAGTAGAATTTTTCAAGCAAAGTAGCTTAGCTAGGCATTATCCACAATATTCCTGTGAATTAAGCTGCTTTACCTCATAGACATCAATAGAAGACTATGACATATTTGTGCATGGAATTCAGATATAAATTAGAGTTGAGCCAAAGGATTATTTTTCCACATATATTTTCATTGATGTTTTAAGATACTTTTCCCCCATGTTAACAAAGGAGGGGAAAGGCATTATGAAAAGCATGAAAATATTCAATAATTGAAAAAGCATTGCTTTTACTCTGGCATCTCCTATTTTCCATATGATTTACTTTAATAATCCCTAACTAGGAAAAAAAAAAAAAAGCTCCATAGCACTATTATAGGAATGAATATAGGGGCAAGTTTTTTTAGCAGGAATGTCAATCTTTATGCATTTAAGCAGTTTTTCAGAAAATATTTTCCTTGTTAGAGGAAATCACTGTTTTTGATCTAATTGCTAAAGTGCTTTTGGTTAGATACACTTCTCTTTTGGAAAGTCATCAAGCAATCAACAGATTAATTTGATATTCATCTTCTGCTTAGTCATTATTTCAGTAATACACAGTCAGTTTGATGTTTAGATTGGATTTGGCACTTTTATCTACCTGTCCAGTCCTTCCCAAGGACCTGGATAGGAAGATGTTGTTGTTTAATGATGTTAAAAGTATTATTGCAGGATGAAACTTGCTCCAAGTAAAGCTGCTTTTTGCAATTGATGGATGAGGATTTTGTCAATACCAATGATATTCAAGTGGTGCTCCAGATGTTTTAGGATTGCACCCAAGGTGATTTTCTCTATTGGCACTCTCTTTTGCCATAGTTGTTCTATTTGTATTTGCAGATCCTTATATTTTGTGATTCCTTCTCTTTTATTCTGCTGTCTCCAGGTACTTCTATGTCTATTATTCAGACTTTTTGTCTTTTGTATTGACAATTGTTATGTGGCAAGTGCTTGTCTGTTTGAATTCTAAACTCTCAGAACCCTTTAGCTTCTTCATTTTCTATTACTTTGTCTATTTGGTGGGCCCATCTTTTCTTGCTTGCAAGCAAATGATATTTCTTGTAGCTCTTCCAAAGCACTATCATTGCTACTTTGTTATGCTATTGTTTGTGATCAGTCTGTGTGATCTTCTTGCAGCACGAGGTCCATTGTTTCTTCAGCTACTTTATGGAGAAGGTATTCACTAGTGCTGCTATATTCTCAATTCTGCTTTATGTGCATTTATTCTTAAAATTTGGTCTTGTGCAGATAGAGTAGTCCCATGTTCTCTTTCTTAAGTTTTCCTGCTTTTAGCCATTGCCATGTTTTATTGTTAGCTATTTGCTTGCTATTTTTCTTAATGTACTGGCCATAAAATACTTGCCTTGCCATGTCTTTTTTCTATCCTTCATTTGATCTTTCTTGTTAGTCAGTTTGGTCTCCCCAGGACTTAGTAAGCCTTCATTTTTATTATTATTTCTGTCTTGCATCCTAGAAATGAGTATGGAACTTGACAGAAAGACTTTCCTTTGTATTAATAATGCCATTAGATTTGTATTTTTTAAAGAAAACATATTCCTTGAAACTATTAGTGGTTAGAATCCACGACCCTACAGTTACTCACAGATTGTTTAGAATGTGCATTTTTTAAGAAAGTACCCTCTTCTCATTCTGTATGGTTATGTCTGAAATTGCAACAAAAAGTTGAAAGTACACAGTGACATGGCATGGCCTTTGAAGGAAAAATCAGCTGCACAAGCCAAAAAATAAATAAATACTGAACTCCTATATTAGGCCTTCTAATCACAATCTGTATCTTCCCTGTTATTATTTTAATATTTTGCCATAATACAAAGAACCCTAAATTCTACAAGCTTGCTAATCACCAACTATTTACTAATTTTTGGTTAGAGTCATGAGAATTATGAAAATGTAAAGTGGCAAAAATGCTTCAAGTCTAGCCTGAGCATTCCTGCCATGTCTAATTAGCTGTTCCATACAGAAATCAAACTTCTCCAAGCTTACACAATGGATAGAAAATTACTTGTTTGAGTTAAAAAAGCATCTCGCCTGTTTTAGATCCAAATATTGCCCACCACCAGTACACCACCAGTATCGATATAAAAGTAAGTTATACCAAGTTTAATGAACTTACTCTTGTTGAAGAAATATTTAGCAGTTGCAGATACTTAATTTTATTTCATTTTTTCTTCAGGCCATGATCCTTTTTTCTTTGTTCTGGTGACATTTTTTTTCTTTTATTATGACCTCTGTTCAGCATGCCAATCAAAGACAGAATGTAGGCCTGACTTTTAAAAAGGCATTTAAAAGGATCATAGAGTCCTAGACCATTTATTGTACTATAGCAAAGAGCGTACATCCATTGGCCTCTTTTCTTTATAGCCAGCAAAATCCCAGGGATATTAATAAGCCCACTAGTAAGCACATCTCTGCTGCATAATTCTTTTACCTGAAGAGTAAAATTTAAGTCCTGAAAATGACACTCAAAATCTTCCAGCTTTGTAAACTGAGATGCTGCCACTGATTCACCATAAATAAAAGAACTGGGGGACACTGTTCTGAAGAAGGAAAAGACAGAATATATAAGAATGAGACTAATGACCTCATTTTATTTTAATTGCACAAATTAGTTACTTCTCCTAATAGTTTTTTTTCAAAAACTTCCTGTCTTTTCACTGAGTACTGTTATCACATAACAGAGAAACAGAGTTATGACTGGAAAATTAAACAGACAGGTCTACAGCATCACCTCCTTTTCATGGGTACTATCCCAGAACATTTGACCTAAACCTTGGTCGAGTGGATCTCAACCAAAATAGCTAACTCAATCTTAGAAATCATCCCTTAGTCTGTAATCATTCTATGAGAAGGAGGGCAATCAATGCTAATATTTCAGTCTGAGAAAAAAGAGATGTTCTGGTCCTACCCTTATTTATAAACAAAAGAAAAAATAAATGATAATTTTTGTACCCAGTGATGGATGAATCCACTTCATGCATCAAGGGGATTGTCAACGTGAGAGAATTGTCCTGAAGATTGTGTTCCAAATTCCCACTGCAGGAAACAAGAGAATCAAGGATATTATATGCTGTAATATCTTTTCATCCAAGAGCTCATTACAATATTCATACCATTCCCTTCTTTCCCCCTTCCCACTCAAACAACTTTGTGAGTTAAGCTGGACTGGAAGAGATTAACCAGACCAAGTCATTTTTATGGCTAAGAGTGGACTATAACCTAACTCTTCCTGATGCTTCACCAGTACCTTAACCACTATAGCACACTGGCTCTCATATTAACCAGAATGGGGCATCCTTAGGAGACCCTTAGTTGGACCAATTGGATTAAGTACTCTCTCCCCACTCCAAATGTACAGATGGATAATAGAGAAATCTCATTAAGTTTTATAGAAGAACCAAAATCTTATAAGATATAAAAACCTAAACATTCTAGTGTAAGCCCTCACAAGATTATACAATTTCATGTAAAATGTGAATTTTTATTTTTTATTTTATTAGAAATGCAGAAACCTTTTTTTGGGAGGGCAGAACTGACCCTTGCTATATATCTATATTGGGGTGGGGTGTCTGCTACATATCTTTAATATTAGCTTTTGCCATTATTCGATGCACTTCAAATATATTCCTATTGCTTGTTGATGGAGTATAAACTGAACTTCCTGTGACAGGCCTAAACAGGAATAATTTTGATGGGATTTTAAATTTTGTCCAGAAGCAAATTACAGTTCATCAAGTTGTTTCCAGTCTAGTGTAATTCAGCTTCTCAAACGTATTGCTGATAGTAGCCATGATATCCCAATTTGTGCTCATTTCTCCCTGAATAGGATGATGAATCCCCTACATAATCCCTAAAAAACCATTGCTAGTCAGCCTAATCCAGGTTTCCTCAGTTAGCCAGCTTGTCCAAAGCCTGAGAAGTTCATAGGGATTGCAGTTGAATATAGCTGCCCGGAGACACCTGATAGTGATATGGGTGGCATATAAATTAAATAATAATTGAAATAAATAGATTTGGGGGCACTAGACAGGAGACTAGTATGCAAAAGTAGTTAAATCAGTACTCTGATGAGTCTCTGCATTTTGAAGTTAACACAGATTCATCCTAAAACAGAGGTCTAACAGCATAACATATTGCATGTACACACATCGATATATACAATTGTTTAAGAGGATTTTTGATTTATAGATGCTGCCATTCATTTTTATTTGTTTTGATAGTTTGTTTTACACTTCAAACACCTTCAAACACTTAGCTCTCTGGAAAAGGTTCTAATGCTGGGAAGAGTGAAAGGAAAGAGTTGAAGATAGAAGAGCATCAGCAAGAGGCAATGGGTGCATGGTTGGAAGACCTGGTAAGTGAGATAAGGAATAGAGCAGCATGGAGAAAATCTATCAAGTGACTTGTGGAGATATAACTAATCTATCAATTTATAAACTGATATCTGATTTAATATGAGGGAGATTATTTATCCTTTGTTCATTTTTAGTTGTGCCCTTGGCATTCTATTACCGAGATTATAACCTAAGAGTCTCTTGAGTGTGTCAAAAAAAGAAAGAAATCAAATACACACACCTACATAAGTGTCACTGTATAGGGCCAAGAATTTGACAGAAGTTACTCTTCATATAGTTAAGAAACAAACATCACGATGTTCTGCTCAGCAACTTAACTATCATCCTTGATCTTTTGCTTCATGCAATATTAGAAGGACATGCTACAGTTAATATTTTATGTGTGCAGCCTAGCTTTTTATTTTAAAAATAGGAACATATGGATATTATACTATACTATGTAAAAATATAGGAAATGCAAATGTCTCCTTTTATGCAACTACTTTCAATATATTAAAGAAACAAAATAAAAACAGTAGCTTTTAATTTAGAAGTAAGGAATCCAAGATCAAAAGTTCATAAAGCTGAGGAATGAGCATTCCCATGTGATTCTCATCATTTCCTATGTCTACTAGCAGATCAGACTACTATTTTATGGCTAAAAATAATGAGACGTGTGCACTGTGCATTAGGGTTTTCAACACACTCCCTGCCAAATCCCTATGCACCCATTATGAGGCCTCTATAATAAAATGGAGAGAGTTGGTTCAAACTCTCTCTTAGCAGACTTTACAATATTCCCTGGGGCACAAAAACATTTTTCTCTGCCAAGCTTAGAAGAAATCTGAAACTAAAATAAAGGAAGCCTAAGATGGGGTGGGAGGGTGGGGAGGAAGAGCTAGCTAATCTGCAAACCTCAGTATCAAATTAAATTTATCTGGCTTCTGAATAAGATTATCCAACAGTTATTTCATGGATGCAATAGTAAATAATGATTTCATAGGCATGACTGAAAGCTGTTTTTAAGTTACATTCATGCATGAATGAGGTAAATAAATCTATCTCATCTTGAAGATTATCTGGCTCTTGCCATAGGACCTATTATAAAAAAAATCTAGTCATAACATCTCCAGCCAACTGGTATCATCAGAGACAAATATAACTCTACTGTACATGACATGCATGACTTCTAAATCTGATTGCAGCTGAATGGCTTAAGAAGTAATATATAACCTAAAAAACTTGGACATTCTGTTCAATTTAAGTTAGTTGGAAACTGAAAAATGTGTTCCTATCTTACATCTTAAGTCATGATAGAATGGAAAAGATTAAGCCAATACACTGGTCATTTTTTAAGCTGTTACCAGCTTTAGCGTCACAAACCCTCTGCACATACAAATCGTATAGCAGATCTTAATAAATCATGAATGAAAGGATGCTCTGCTTTTCTTCACTGATCTGAACAGGGGACTAACTGATTCATTACCTCCTTTTCAAATGTTTGCTTTTTCCTAATTTGGACATTAGCAATTTGCCTGCAAGTAGAGCCTATTTTGGAGGCCCAAGTGAATTTACCTATTACAATAAGTGTAGCCAGAGTTGTTGTTGTTTTTTTTTGTCATAGAACACACCGGAACAGAGTTCCAGCACTTTTTTTCGATGGATTTTCCAGAGTTGCCTTCTTTTCCTATTGTTGCCCTTCCTATCCTCGTTTGTTTTTGAAAATGCACCGCTGGTGGTATTGTGTGAGCGGAGTCCCCTCCAGTGCTGTATGCCTCCTCTAGGAGGAGCCATGAGGCACTGGAGCACCACAGCCAGAGTGTGGCTTGATTGGCTGGGTTGGATCATGTGATGTGGAAGCCAATGGTGGCAGTGGGAGACACGTAAACACGGAGGCCATCTTTCACGAGAGGGTGAGCGAGCCTTTTGCCTTCCCTTACAGAAAGTGGGGTGTGAAGTTAAAAAGAGGCAAAGCAAGAGGAAAGAAAGGTAGCTGGCGTGGAAGCTTGCCTGACAGCGAAAGTTTGCTGTTTCGGTTCCTTGGGTTGTTCAAAGGCTGGGATGTCTACGAAAATCTCTTTTTATACTTTATATTCAAACTGCAGAGGGGAAGAATAAGAATAAAGCCAATGTCTTGTGATTTGGAGGTATTATTATTAATAATAATATATATTAATTATGTACTGGTCAGATGTAAATGTAAACCTACAGTATGAGGTTTAATAAGATCTATTTATTGAATTGGTTTTAACTTAAAGGTAAATTAAAAGTAATCTGTTCACTGACAAAGTTTCAACTTTAATTTGTTTCAAGTCAATATCCATATTAATCTCCAAATGTAATTTTTTCCACCTTATTTGACAACTTCTTAAAAATAATTCAATCTTTTACAAGCAACCAAATTTTGTTTTATTGGGCCAATTTCATTCCACATAGAAAGCTGACATTTCTACTCATTAAACTAAATGGGTATGCCAGTGGTAAATATCCCAAAATATTAATAAAATGTCTTCTTGTTATTTAAAGCCACACAGCGCATGGTAACATTAATAGTATTAACTTATCTTGAACAAAATCCTAGTCTTTTAGAACATTAAAAATTGAAGAGGGTTTTTTTCAACTACAAAGGCAAACCTTGTAGAGTAGGCAAGGCGGATTGTATGACGTGTGTGAGTTCTGGCACCTTTTTTTTTTCCCAAAAAAAATCACCGGCTAAATATATATATGAATTTCAGGAAAATCTAATCCTTGTCTGTGAAGATATATGTAGAGTCAGTGCTTTTTTTTGTCATAGAACACAATGGAACAGAGTTCCAGCACCTTTTTTCGATGGATTTTCCAAGTTTTAAAAGTAACTTTTGAAAATGTGATGTTTGGTTCACATGGACTTGAATCGCCCTGTTGAGCGTAGCAGATCAGCAGCAAAATCATTAAAACAATGCATGCAGGCTGCTTGTGTGTTGATTTCGATGCATGCATACTTCATCCACGCTGATTGTGATGGTACTGCTCGGCTTGTGGCACTGCTCGGCTTGTGATTGGTCATTTGGTCACACACTGAGTGCTTACTGCAGGCGGCGACCATTATGTTTCGTTATACAACTGACATGTGTGGGTGTGTGTACAGTTATTGACTATATGTGAAAGGTAAATAATTTTTTTTATTTTAAAAAATCATTGAATTAAAAATCTTTTAATTTTTAGTGTAAAATTTACTATGAACTTTACTATGCCTTAAAATATAATAAATTAAATTTATGTTAAGAACTAAATATATAATTTTTTAAATAAAAGATTAACAAGATGTGAGCTCCAGCACCTTTTTTCTTACAAAAAAAGCACTGAGTGTAGCCAAAGGTGTAGAGTGAAATACAATATAAATTACTAAGATTCAAATGGAGAGCTTCTGGATGCCACTGTAATGAATGCAAGAACAGAGCAAGCAATAGCCATTTTGAATATAAAAAGTGCTCTGGGGGATTTCAGAGAATAAGCCATTTCAAGATTAGCAGTATCTATCATCTAATATGCTGATTTACATAACACTACTTTCTACTTATATTTTTCCATATAAGGTAATTCTTTTTAATTCAGGGCTTATCTAAAATGGTCTGCTTTTCTGAATAGTTCTACAGTCTGTAAACTAACCCCATTATGAATGAAAGCAAATATACATGTCCCAGGACATATTCTGGCGAGAGAGAAAGTCCCTGAGGATAACTAAATCTCTGATCCCAATGATCAGCCTGGATCACATCCTGCAACTAACATCTTTCCTTATTCCCAATATAATAATCATGCTAAGATATTTGCTGGATTTTATTTACAATGAAGAAAGGATGTCTAAAACCACCTAATTACTGACTCCAAATTTAATCATACTTGAAGAACACATACAAAAATCAAATGGTATGCTCCAAGTATAGCTAATTTTGGATTTAATATGATATATATGCTCCCTGAAATAATCTATACTTAAGACTTCTTAAGCCATTATTAAACCTTTTGGTAGAGTCGGAGAAAAAATGAAGGAAAAATATTGCCTTTTTTATAAGCTTTTGCTATGGACCACAGGAGGCCAGACACCCCCGTCCTCCCCTGTCTGCTGGAGTGTGCCCAAACTCCTGCCCACTGCATCAATGATACTATCTAACCATCTCATCCTCTGCTATCCCATTTTCCTTTTGCTTTCAATCTTTCTCAACATCAGGGTTTTTTTCCAATGAGTCCACTCTTCTCATTTGGTGGCCAAAGTATTTGAGCTTCGCCTTCAGTATCTGTCCTTCTAAAGAATAGTCAGGGTTGATTTCCTTTAGGATTGATGGATTTGATCTCCTTCCAGTTCAAAGGACTATCAAGAGTCTTCTCTAACACCACAATTCGAAAGCATCAATTCTTTGGTGCTCAGTCTTCCTTATGGTCCAACTCTCGCAGCCATACTTTACTACTGGAAGGACCATAGCTTTCACTATATACGTTTTCATTATATAAGCTATCTCTGCTTTTTAATATGCTGCCTAGGTTTGTCATAGCTTTCTTCCCAAAGAGCATGTGTCTTTTAATACTATATTATCTTTGCATTATATTTTATTGACATAAGTATACTAAAGCAAAGTCCTATACTATATACCTGAATATAATCAATCTTTAGTTGCTTAGGATCAATAAAGAGCAATAGCATATTAATGAAGGAAATTCCTTATATCTGGGAATCTTGGACAACAAGGTCCCAAAAGTTGCCATGTCCATTGGTATGTTATAGGGATATTAGCATTAAATTAGACAAGATGTTATTTTAATTTCACATAATGTCTTTGAAATAGCTTTGCTTTATACTCCATTGTTGTCCAGATGAGTTGGAGTTGTCAAAATTACCAGCCAGCATTTTCTGCCTGTTTACACAAGCTGAGAAATTTGGGGAGTTTATTCTTAGTTTTTCTGGGAAGATTTTAGGACAGTGACTACTACAATGGAATAGTATGGCAAATCTAACTAGTAGGTACAATCATCTAGTGGTGCTTCCAGCATTAAACTGGCATTTATTTTTAATGTGAACCTACTGCAGATGACACTGATAGACTTTTCCCTAATTGCCATGAATTGATTTCACTTCTGAGGCTATGCTTTTATTATTCAATGCCAGGAATGTAAATGTAAATCATGTGTTAAGTCACAGATGTAGTCCCAATGTGCCACAAAAGAAACTGAATGTGAAATCTATATTACCTCTGAGCAGATACAAGGAATGAAAGAATTTCTTCTTCGCCAGACAAATGGCTTGTGTCAAAAATAACACTGAATTCATACTAAGGGAAACAGAAAGCAACATTTAGCACATTATGGATATTCGAATAAGCATGATTTCTATTTGACTATCTTCTTTCATTACATTGTTGCATTTTTTTTCAGCATCATTTTATCATATTCCAGATTTGAAATCACTATACATTTTCAAAGATGAGAAATCATATGATGGTGTTTTTCTGTGTACATACCCAACTTACTTTGACTAGGCATAATAAACACAAGGAAAAGATCTCACAGCTATATCATAAATGTATGTAAATAGTGGTCAGCAAGGGATTCGCCAGTTGAATTCAATCATTGCACAGACATAGTATAAAATAGATACTAATAATTCAAAAGGTAGAATAGGAGCATTAGATTTTACCTTTCCTGCTGGATTCTCCTACTGAAAGCTGATTGGTGTTACTACCACTTAGCTGACATACAAATCAGGATTATTTTTGTAAACTGTCAAAGCCATTGTGCTTCAACTATGAGGTTCAGCTTTGAAATGCTTTGGTAGAACAAATTATGTAATCTGGATTTTACTATCATATAATAAAATCTGAATATACTCATTAATGTTTTGGTAGTATACTGAAAATATTTATCACTGATATATCACAGTGAGACAACACCCAAAAGTAAAAAGGAAGATGAATGTCCACAGTAAGGGCTTTCTAGTTCATTTTGAACAGACATTTGTCTTTTCCTTACTGAAAAGCATGGAATATATATTCAGCTGAATTGGTAATAAAGTATAGTCTGCATTTCTGTTGCATTTGAAATAGACGTTGAACAATTTGTGCACAAATATATAGAGTACCCATATCTTGGCCCCTTATACTGTAGACCTGTTAGTTTTGATCTAGCCCTGGTACTAGGGGAGGAAAGGTATGGTTGTATGGTTTATAACTTTTCTGAAACCCAAGCCTTGTTCTAGTAGACAACTTATTAGGAAAATAAGGAAAAGCAAGCAACTGTGAATATAATATTCAACTTATATATTTGTACTGTAATACAAACCTGCTGTGGTATTAGTTTCATTTTCCTTCCTAAATTGAACTGACATGGATAGGAACTGACCAAAAACAAAACAAAACAAAACAAATGAAATTCTAGCCATGTTTATCAACAAATGACTTGACTCAATTGGAGACATATAGAATCAAGTCCGAACTATTTAAAGATAGTAATTTTTTTATTTCAGCACAATTGTCTTTTCTCCTTCCAAGAACGAAAAATGATATTCAATGATTTATCAGAGGGTTGGACTAGATGACCTCCAAGGTCCCTTCCAACTTTACTATTATTATTATTATTATTATTATTATTATTATTATTATTATTATTATATCAATTAATTTTCCTGCCTTTGGGTATTTTGCATATTGACAATGCAATGTGGGTGCTGTTTGTTCCTATACTCAAAGAGCAAAGTCTCTTAAACTGATCCAGCACAGAATTAAACTTCAAAGCATTCAGAAACACTATCAAAATATAATAGCATAATCTACAGAGGTTATTTAACAAATAAAAAGTTTAAAAGAAAAAAAAGATATTTTATTTTTATTAGTTCTGTGCTGTATTCATCTGACCTTAAATCCTCTGATTTAAAGCAGGCAAAAATACAAAACACAGCAGAGCAACTAGGGACACCAATGGTAGACATTCCTCTTCAAAGACTTTGCCAAGGTAGAATCATTTTCTGGGAACTAAAAAAGATTCCCATTTGAATTCTTGATCAACTTCCATTAGGATTCTGTGGTTATGAATATCTGTCACTATCCTCTCCCTAAATTTTACCTAGTGAGGTAAAATTAGCAGCTTCTTCTAAGAAAAAACAAAGAACTAGTCCAGTGCTGAAAAATGAGTCTAGCGTCCAGTCGTTGAAGTTTCAGAAATCATGTGATCGTGCTTTCAGTGCTTGGCAACTGGCACTTATTTAGTATGGTTGCAGCAACCCATGGTCATGAAATTGCCATTTCAGACCTTCTCATCCAGCTTTCAACAAGCAAAGTAAATGAAGAAGCCATCAGGAAATTGTAAGCCATAGACAAGTGATAGCACCTTTACCATCCACTCTGATTCACTTAACCATTGCAACCAGAACTGATATCACACAGTGGCATAATTACATGAATTTTCATTTAATGACTGTGTTGCTTATTTGTCCGTCCCAAGTGTAGTTGGTAAACAAGGACTACCTTTAGTTTATGGTCCACAGTTTTCTAGCACTGATAATGTTACCTAGTTTGGATAATGAAACATCTGCAAGAAAGCAAGAAAGCTCAGAGAACAACAATGGCCCCACTCCACACATTTCTTTTCTATGCAGGGAAACTCACTGTTGTAGGAAATCATCAAGCAATACCTTGGATTTAGATTTCATGAAGGGAAAACCCACACTGCACTTAAGGAAGTCTGAGTCCGGTTCCAGCAATTCGCAAGCAATACCCATCTCATCCTGAAAGAAACAGAAGGGAAAGCTTTTTAAAAAAACATTTTAATGAATGAGTATATAGCAGAAAAAAATGGTGGGATCTAGATTAATTCAGCAGCATAGAGGCTGCATATCTATTCACTTATCCAAGAGGAAAGTACTGCAATGAGATTTATCCTGCATCTTTCTAATGAAATTAGTGGAATATGTGTTATGATTAATTTTCTCTTTTTAGTCTAAGCCAATCAACAAATAGATAAATAAATACCAAAAACAAAAGATAGAATAGTAAACCAGAAAAAGAAAGAAATCAAGCACCCTACTAGTACCAAGAAACATATCCAGACTGCAAAATAGTCATAAGAAAAAATATATTCAGCATCATTCTGTCACTTTTATCTACAGAAAAAAAAATCTCATACATAATTTGTTCTTTGAATTGTATACATCAGTGATGGCAAACCTTTTAGAGACTGCCAAAAATCGCCCCCCACCCCCCGTCCCTACTCCACCTTGCCCACTGGGCCACCCACCACCTCCACGGCCCGCCACAGGTCATTCTGGCAGCCCAGCAGCGCCATGGCAGCCATGCCTTCCACCCATGCCCCACAGCAGCGTGCGACAGGGCGCAAGGGCAGAGTCTTGTCCCTGCTGCCCAGCTACCATGTCCTTGGTTGTGCTGCTTCGCATGGGCCACGCCTAGAGGTGACTCTCCTCCAGAAGAGCTGCTGGTGAGGGGGCCATGGGAGGAGGCCGGTCTGGGGAGACGGTTCGTGTGCCCAGAGAAAGGGTTCCGAATGCTGCCTCTGGCACCCGTGCCATAGGTTCGCCACCACTGGTATACATCATGGTTTGAGATTTATATTTTGTTCATTTTGGGCCATCTTTCTTTTTTTAGGCTCCATCCCATTCTTGAATTATAGAAGTAATTTTACAGAAGTAATCCTACAGCTTAAAATCCTCACTCTGCCTGCTGAATTTGAGGCTAAAAACACAACATTTCTTAACATTATAATACTGCATATGTGCACAGATCAGAGGGGAAAAAAGACACGGAGATATTGTACCACGCATAGATATAAATAAAATTAGCACCAGCAGTTGAAAATGGCGGAAATGACACACATCCCTTCCTCTTTCAGATGGTGTAAAGCTGGCTTTGTCTCTCAACATAAATCTGCTACTACAAATTTCCCATTTAGGATTACACTTTCAAAATAACTACACATAGGTGAAAAAAAATCAAGCTAACTCTTAACTACAATCAAACAAACCTGATATAAAAAGAAAACAGTATCAGAAAAAATAAAATTAAAAAATAGCAAATTTAATGACACAGTTCTTTACATATTCACAGAAACATCCATGTGACCTCATCATTGATTCACTTTTTGGAAGCAGATTAGTGTCGTGCTCTTGACATTTTTTTTAAGTGGAGGGAGAACAAAAACAAAAAAAGAATATTTTCTTTGGCATTAGGCACAGATGTCCTGTTCCTTTCCATGTTCTCATTAGTAATTCTGAGGTGTAGACATGCCCCCTATCAAGCTTGAGGTCGACCCATGCCCCCCACCAAACTGATTCAGGATTCACATCACTGATTCCCTGCTTACTTTGGGAGAATTCATTCAATAATATTAATCACAGGGAAAAAATGTTCACTGCCTCCCCCCACACACATGCCCTTTGGGTGCAGTTGAGGCTATTTTTGGATCATGAGATCACAGGCGTTGACATACACAGGAAGGCTGCAAGTGAAGGAAGGAAGGAAGGACGGGAAAAAAAACTTCACCAGGAGATTTCAACAAAGTTTACCTCCCCACACTTTGAAACTGTAGGAAGAAATGGTTAATACAAAAATAACTCAAAAGGTGATGCTGATGTGTCCAAACAAAAGTATTGATCAATCTGAAACATGAAACAAAACACACAAAGTACAGATAACTCACAGATCATAGTGAATATGGGAGAATGAGCAAGTGAGATGTGTATGTGAGAAGTACAAGGTGATATAGCAGAAGAAGGAAATGGGCAAATACTTAAAAAATGAGATATGCGATTCTACATTTTCTGAAACAGAATTAAAGCTTTGTCAGTATTACCTTAAATATCTCACTTGCCCATTCTTGAAAGAGGTTGTACCTGCCTCTTTAAATTTTTTCAGGTATTTAAGTTAACGTACACCAAAATTTTAACTCCACATCAAAAAGATACAGAGTCACATATCTATTTCTCAACTATTTGCAGATCTCTTGGAACAGCTATATTCAGACTCTTCAAAATTGATCCATTTCTGTGTTAAAGTCAGAATAAGTCAGATACAGTAATGTCTCAAAAGAATTAACTGCTCAAATATCAGGACTGTTGAGTACTTTCCTTGTTCCCCAACTAAGCAAATCAGGTGTGAGTATGTGTTAGAATTACTCAGGAATATGAAATCTATTCTAAAACATTGGGGGAAGACTTGAAGTGACAAAAGTCTTCTGCTGTTTTCACAGCAATACAGATATTGCCACTTTTTTCAGGCACCCTTGAGGAGTAATTTTTTTCCTAACCAAGACAGAAAAGCAGAACCAGCAATACCTTCCTCCAACTTTATACAACACTTCAGACCACAATTAGGCAAGACTCTATCACATTCATTCAACTATTCTCAAACTGGCAAATACTTTAAACTAGTGCATAGTCAGAGCCTGAATTAATCACAGCAGGTAAAATATTTTCTTCTGTGATGAGGAAAGCAAGAAGGAAGAGATTTTGCTGCTGTTGTATGTAAAAAGAAAAAGAAGTGGCAGAATAGCTAACAAAAAGATAGCGGGAAGAGAAAAGGCAAGAGGACAGGAAACGTATGATAGACCAAGACCTTCCCAAGATCAGGTGCTGTATGGAAATCAGGCAGCTTCTTATGTTCCTTTTATTAACCCAGTGGTGAAATGGCTTCCTATATAGGGACTCAAGAGGTGTTTATGCAGTGCTTTTTTTCTACAAAAAAAAAAAAGGTGCCAGAACTCACATACGTCATACAACCAGTCTTGCCTACCCTACAAGGTTCCATCCAAAAAAAGGGGCCAGAACTCCGTTCTGGGCGTTCTATGAGAAAAAAAGCCCTGTGTATATGTATGTGCCTTTGAGTCAGTGTTGTCTCCTGGTGACTGCCTGGACAAATTCCTTCTGTTTTCTTCTCAAGATTTACAGAAGTGGTTTGCCACTGTCTGCTTCCTAGGGTTGAGGTCACCAGCTACTTGCGTGACTATGGCAGGACTAGAACTCATGGTCTCCCTATTTCTGGTCTGGCACCTTAACCACTATACTAGACTGGCTCTCCCTAAGACAATTGAGTTATTATTATCCATGATGGTTTTGAGACATAAAATGCTCATAAACATAAATATGAAAGGAAGTGTAAGTATAAAAGCAAAAAAACCAAAAGGTTTGCAGATTCTCCTACAATGTTATATAAGTGTGAGAGTTGGACACTAAGAAAGGCTGATAGAAGAACTGATGCCTTTGAACTGTGGTGTTGGCATAAATTATTGTGAATGCCATGGACAGCCAGAACAATCAAGAGAGAGCTGATGAGTGAGTCATACAAAACCAGAAACATCACTAGAAGCCAAACTTACAAGACTATGTTTGGTTTACTTGGCCATTTTGTCCGTGCAAATTCACTGGAGAAGCATTGATGCTAGGAATGGTTAGTGCAGCGGTTCTCAACCTATGGGTCGCGACCCCATTTGGGGTCGATCGACCATTTTTCGGGGGTCGCCAAAGAAGGCGATCCACCATTTTCTCCCCTCAGGGGGCAGCGCCGCGCATGCGTGCCGCGCATGGGGGCGGTGCCCCCATGTGCGCCGCACCACGCATGCGCAGAACGTTTGTGTGACGGGGGTCACCGTCACACAAACGTTGAGAACCACTGGGTTAGTGCATCAAGGAAAAGGGGCAAGCAAAGAACTCACTAACTTAATACCATCAATGCTGATATAAAGATGAACATCCAACAACTGAAAGAAACTGTGCTTGACAGGGTAGCATGGAGAGCATTTGCCTATAAAGTCACCAAGAGTCGGACACTGAATGGTTAAAACTAACTAATATCCTTTTCATGTACGCCAAGAAATTTCTTCTTTGACCATTTACTTTGTGAACATTTTGACAAAGCTATTAATATATCATCATGATTGTTTCAAATCCACAACTGGGATTCTATCATTTGAAGCAAAAAAAAAAAAAAAGTTTGAGGGCTCCTTAAGAAATATATCTAAATAAATTTTAAAAGAATATAAGAAGTACATTACCAAAGTATTATTATCAATGTAATGCATGATAAAACTAAATGGAACCTTTTCATAGTGAACAACTTTAGCTTATTAATATTCTCATTTAAAATTTCTGTCAGGTAATCTTCATTTGTGATAGCAAATAATCTCTGTGAATGAGAAACACACAAATAGTGAGTTCCAATTATAACTATAAAAAGAAATTACAAATGTAAAGGCAATATACCATGCTTGTATGTATTAGGAATTTTAATTAAAGTAAAGATTTGACATAGTTGATAGATCCATTTGGGAATTTCCAGTGTAATGTTTCAGAAACAGAACTAAAAACACAATTACTTTAATTTTTACCTGGGTTTAAAGTGTGAAATCCAAACTGATGCGATAAATAGTGCTCTGAAGTAAACATCTCAATTTAGCAACGTACACTGCCTGAGGACATATCAAACCCTACAAGCTTTCAGGTTCCCAAATGAAAACATACAGAATTACTTGCATGATGAAAGAGCAAAAGGAAAATCCCAACTAGAGTTCAGATGTTTTCTTTTCATTTGTGTTCATTTCCATGCATGCAAGCTACATCTTATCCTGCACTGGAAAGGAAGTCAGAAGAATTGCAAGTAGTCCTCGACATAACAGCATTTTGTTTTGTGATTGTTCCAAATTACAACGGCACTGAAAAAATGGATTTATGGCCATTTTTCACACTTATGACAGTTACGGCATTCCCATGATCATGAGATC